GAGCCAGTCAGGGTACAGGGTAGCAACGATGAAACATACAACTTTCCTTTAGTTCCTAAATTCACACCCCACGATCCCCACTATCACGATCCCAATTCCACCTTACAAATCTGGCTAGACCAGAGTATGTACACTGGTACAGAAACACAGGGAATCCAGGGCAGATGATCCCTTCAGGCTTGTCAAGCTACAGTTTAGAAGTAATTCAAATGTCCGTCAACACAACTGAGAATATTCAAATAGAGCACACATCATTGCAACGAAAATGAACAATCTATAGTTAGTGGCAAAAACATTGATAAATATAAAACTCAAAATCTTGAGTGAAAGACATTAAAGAATATATATGGTATTATTTCATTTATATAGACTTCAAAATGCGGAAATATCTTCTATTATTTAGTGTGCATATATAGGTAAACCCAAAGGAAAAATTAAGAAACATAAGAAAATTCATGATGGTGATTATTTCTGAATGCCAGGAAGAGGGCAGTAATTGAAAAAGACACACAGAACACTTTTGTGTATTGCTGGCCATTTTCCATTTCTTGATTTGCATGGTTAAAAACAGTATGTACTTTTAATTCCTGCTAAGATCTGTAAGTTTTATGCACTTTTCTTGTTTTGATTATATTTTGTATTTTACACTTAAGGAAAAAAAAGGAAAATAGACCATAAATTCGATGTTTTTATGGAACTCCAAGTAGCTCAGTAAAAGTACTGTGTGTTCAGAGTATGCAAGGAGATGAGTCTGAATTGTGAGTGTAAAGATGTTTGCTCCTTGGGCAAACGGGACGAGACCACCACCTTCCAGGGCTCATGGCCTGTGGGAGAAAGCTGATGGCTCAGCCATGATGAAGCAATGGCTGGCCTGCTTCTCCGTCTGAGACAAACAGACACTTGTCTCCTTTCCCTGACTAGAGCTGCAGAAGGCAGCAATCTGCAAACACATCAGAGTTACCAACCTTATCCTCCCCTCCCATCCGTGAATAACTTGGCTGATGTGTTAATACTTCTTTGTAAACCTTCAAAGAATTGTGAACTGTCCCATTGTGTAATATTGTCATGAGTTTCAGGCTATGTGCGGAAAAGGTACTTAAGCCTGTCTGCTTCTAATAAAGTTTGGGGCCCTGAACTGCACCTATCCTTTATCTTTAAATTTTCTCACTGAATACTGTGCCCCCCTGAGCATGTTAGATTTGTAAGATAAGAGATAGTCTATATTCTTATACTGAATAATGTGCGCACTAGACCTATAACAAACATGTCTGCCTAGACTACTCCCCCAATTCTGCCATGCTGAAAATACTTATCAATGAATCCGCAGCTTCGTGAGAAGGATTTATATGACCAGAGCACACAGGAGCAGATGACAGGGGAGGAGGAGAGACTGGAGCACATCCTGGGCCACCAGGCCTTGAGGACGATGACCCCAATTAGAGCAGCCAGTCCACAGGGCCAGCCCCGCTATGAGACATGATGCCCCTCACTGACCCATGGCC